CCCCCACCGTCCCCTTTCACAAATGCACACAACAGAACTTAATTTTCACCAAACCTAAGTGCCTCGACTCCAGTCGGCATTCTTGTCTCAATTAGCCTCCGGGACCCAGAGCAACTCGCCTGTGTACCGGCATCTGGCTTTTCAGCACCGAGGACAGCGCCCGGACTCGCGTCTTCGGAAGCCACGGCCAACCTCCCAGCTCTACAGCCTAGGGAGCCTCTCTTCGACCTCAGGTGACACTCGAAAGTACAAATACCTACGGCTGTGAGAACTGCTTCCTCCTCTTCCCCGCCCCCCTCACCCAACGCACAGACATTTGAAAAAGAAATATCCAAAACGAATCTGCCCTCCCTATCCCCTCAGCCCCCTTTCCTCTTGAAAGAACAAAAGCACTCACTCACCATGTCTGACACAGGCAACAGATTGAACCGGTGGAGGGTGAAACCCGCTATTGACAAGACTGGGTTTGACTCCAGCAGGAGAGGCGCTTTCTATATCTCCTTGGGAAAGGCCAGGTTTGCGTCAGTGCAAAGCAAGGTGCCCTTGGCTTGACATTTTCTTGATAAAACAAGTTTGATAAATCATTACCCCCTAGGATTCAAGTTTTAAAGGGACAACAGCCCAGAGTACGCTGGCCAGTAGTCACTCTGGCGGAAGGGGGCTGCGTGTTTGGCGTGACTCATGTGGGTCTGATTACTAAACCGAAGCTGTTGGGAGGGGATGACAGAAGTTTGCCTCCTTCTAATTAAGGGGAACATGGGAGGGACACGTCCCACTGCACCCAAGGCAAGGCGCAGCCGCCAACAAAGTGGATTGGGCTGTAGAGGCTGGGGGAGGAGGGGATTGTGGTCGTGCCTTTCTCTTCCACTAGATTCCATTGCTGCCTCCCTTCATCTTCAGGGATTCTGCCAATATTACCCCGAAAGCGACTGAGGGTCTGCACACCCACAGCTCTGCGGATGGCTGGCGGCAGGCGCGGGTCCTGCATTTACAAGGGAGTCCCCACCTTGCGTGTATGTGGACTTCGGATTCTCACAACCCTTTCCTCCCAGACAACTAGTCTTGGAGGGATCCTGGGTCTTTACTTAAAAATTGGGGCTCAGCATCTGCATCTCTATTTTA